CTCCTGATTTTAACAAGGTATGCCTTGAAAACTCTCCTAAGATTGCAGTTTTTAATTTTGGTGATATTGCATCAGTTCATCAACTACGATCCCAGAATCGAAAATTTCTTGAAGAAAGATCTACATAAGTAGAAAACATCATTATAAACATGTATTAGGGTGGAAAGATTAGCAAACCTGTGTCTGCTGATTATTAAAGTGAAGTTAACAATTACACAATGGTGACTAAATTGATTACTCAACCTCAGCTACACAAGATCTCAGTAAATTATGAATATAAGTGAATTATTTAACAGAAAGACAATGCGTACTGTCAGTTGTACGCTTCCCAATTTCGGTCCAGGAAAAGCTAGAAATTCCATCTGCGAATCAGGACTGAGTTCGCAAAGACCATGAGGATTTTCGACCGTTTCGAAAGACGCTATTTTCTCTGGCTTTCCGGGAAAAGAGAACACGTGAATTTGCTTCTTAAGCACGATAACGATCCTGCAGCGAATGATAGTTCGGTAAGTACCTCAGGAAGAAACTCGTTCTTCTCACTTGTGATACGACATCTTGACGTTGACCACCTCGGAAGGCATACACAGCTCGACGACGAAAGTCTTCTTCGCGTCGTCCCAGATGAGGACCGAATTTTCGGAGAACTTTGCCAGCGGCCCCCCGCCAACGACAGCCACGATATTTGTACGATGTAGCATCGCGCATAATTTCACGCTACCCATCGTTCGCACGTCCAAGTATAGTTTCTCTGTCAAAGGCTCGGCATTGTAGATCTTGAGGCCACGGTCGAGACCGCATATGAAACAATCTGTGGTCAAGAGAGTATAAATTAGCAGTGAATACTAAGCAATATCGAGTATTCCACTCCTACCCTGATCCTCATTGAAATTCACGTACTGCACTACTGGCAACATCTAAGGCTGAAATTGGCTCTAAACGCAAAACAACAACAAAATATGATAACAGTGTGCGGTGAAAAAAAAGTTTGGCAGAAAAAGTACATCGTCATCGAAAACGAAGCAGAAAGAAAAGGTTTATTTCCATAATGAAGTACACAAACAATGTGACGAGAGCTATTGTGGAAAGTATCGAAAAGTTTTCAACGGATCGCTGTTCCTGGCCTAATCAAAAATTGATTTAATTAACAATTATTTAAATTACAGTAATCATATAGATTAGGCAATAAGCATTAAAATACAGACAGAGGAGACCAAATGTTCAAGCCGCAATATGCAGTAGTACTATTAACGGTCCATAACGAAAAATCAACTGGTCACTAATAACAGTATCCAGCAAAGTGACGCGGCTTCACGCTTATGATCTGTAGGTACTAAAATTACATAGAGCCATGGGTTCCTTAAAAAATTCCGCACGATACAAAAACAAGAGACGGTGAAGACATGCCTTCTGAAACCGGAAAAGTGGTAGGAGATTTACAACATCCGAGGTGGAGGTGTACAACCTGATACGGCATTTGTTCCTCCAGCTGAAATCGCTCATCTACATAATTTGCTCTTTCATCTCCGTACCTTTGACGAACAAGTTTACCAGGTTGAGTAACTTCTGCTTATCCCTCGAATTATGGACCAAATGCAGAGACGTTTCCTGGCAACCCTAAATTCGAATTACTGCAGTTACCGTAATAATTGATTTGCCGACCAACTATCACGGTCTTAGAATGTGGCACATACGTAACTGTAGAGACAATCTGCTGTGCGGCTAGAACCATCATGGACTAAATGAACGGGAGAAAATTTTCAGTGAGCAAAAAGGATCCGGGAGCAAGAGTGAAGCAGAGAGGCTGATATTCCAACAGATACAGACTGTTCGCTTATGTCCCTGAGGCTTGTCATAATCACAGCCTCACGTCAGCATTATAGAGAACAATTAATCCCATAACTACCTTATACAGTAACAGATGGAGACCAGGAAAGTTTTCTCAACATTACGAAAAATCTGTGAAAGGTAGAAATACACTGACTGCAAATTCATAGAGGAAAAGAGAATGACCATTCTCGATGGCCATATTCGAAACAAATACGACGAAGTGCAATAACTATCGTTTGTACAATAGATGTTTTGAATGAACCACTTTTTGAACTGCGCGTCACCATGATGACAGCGATCAGAGCTAAGCCTCAGGAACACAAATTAGATTAAACAACAAAGCAACGACTTGCTTTTCTTTTTTTGTTCCTTGCCTCTGCTTTCCTTGCAGACTGTATAACTCGTGACCGTTTGGTAGTCGGTACGAATGAACCTTTTAAGGAAGAAGGCACTGAAAACTTCAAACTTTAAATCGATGACGGACGCAAAATTCAGAAACAAAAAACTTACCAATATAATTTGGTACATGCTTCAAATGATCCAAGCTCTGGTCTTTATGCAAAACTTTGTCGTGTCTTATAAGTTCGAGATCTCTGGGATTCTCAGAAAAGAACGTCTAAAATTAAGTCACAAGAGTAAGAAATCAAGAGACTGTTATTTCTGCCGCCGGTATCGAAAACTACCAGTAAACATCCAGTACCGGAGTTTATTTTTGAAATATGTAATTCGAATTTGGGTCAATTTATTTGTTTTTGAACAACAAGCTGGTACCGCTCGGAGTTTATACACTCCGGCGTTAAACTGCCATCGACCCCTATCCTGCTTAAACGGTGCCAGAGGCAATTAAAAGCAAGGGGACGATATGATCATGATTACGAATCGAGAGAAAGGATAGGAAATTTGAAATAGTCAAGACAGCTGTCTGAAAGTTGCGAGTAGAGAACACATGCAGCAACACAGTGTTCAGCAGCAGCTTCAGAAGGTGTACGATAACACATCCGGGGATGTGTACCAATAGGGCAATTGTAGAAAAGGAACGGTATATGGCAAATAGTTCAGGCCTTACGTCTACACACAATATAGGGTTTAGTGCTACTCGTTACAACGGCATGACAGAGTTTGTCAATCATTCATAAATTTTCATTCGGATCGAAACTGCGAGAATATACCTTTCAAGTCGGTCCTCGACGAGCAGCGCAAGCTCTGTGGGTTGGATTCCAAGACGCGACAATGTCAAAGGAGCCACGATATTTGGTCATCCATGGACCATCTACAACATGGTGAATCTGACCTGTGTTTGGTTTCCTCATCATGTGACTAACTCATTGAGATCTACATGATCAGGAACCTGTAACTGTGCGCACCAAAACTTATCAGGTCTAGCTACACCTGCCGTATTTCGAAGGAACCATTTTTCTAATGTCCATACTTGACACTGTTCATTTTTGGTTAACATCAAGCACTCATGACAATAGCTAGATGCATAGATTGGTCCGAAGACAGATAACTA